AAGAAAGATGTCCCCCACAGTCTTGGGGAATGATTCTCCCCAGACTCTTCTCACACAGCTCCAGTCCACTCCATTCCCCCTCCGCCGGAGCCCAAGGTGAGTGGCTGCACATGAAACATTGTGCAATGGTTCTTTAAGAGGGTGCCTGCAGTTCCAGCTGCCTCTCCCTGGCAGACAGAAACCCAGGTGCTTTTCACAGCCAGATGTTATGTGGGCACCGTTCTCAGTTCTGGTGCTCTTGGCTGGGAAGCCCAGCCTGGGGTTTAGGCCCCAGAGTCCTCAGTGGGAACCCCCCACAGCTGAGATATCCCCCGGGACCTTCAGCTGCTGCCTGTGGGAGCCCAGCCAGCCCTCCTGCGCCCGCACTTTCTACCAGTCTCCTTGCTGTCTCCACTTTTCTTCTTTGGTTATGAGGGTGCTCTCCAGCTCATCTTTAGTTGGTTTTCAGCATGGTGTTCAGGATTTTTTTCTATATTTTAGTTGTAAATCCAGATTAGTCCCTAGAGAGTCTCAATGTAGCTCCCACTCAGTCCACCGCCCTAGAAACATTATTTCTGATCTCTTATTCAAGTCTTCCATTTATCTCTCAGTTAAATCTTCTAAATTTAAATAGATCAGTTCTAGGCTAATTACTTACCTGGGTGTATTTTTCTGTTTTCTTTTTGTATACTTAGAAAATAATGTTCTCTTATTTTTATATGAATTTGTCAGGGTTTCACTAGTAAAGTCATCTAATGTAATTATATGTTGCTCAGCAACATTGAGAATATGGTTTTCATGTGGATCTTCAGGATGTCCTTTGTGATACAGTGCATATTTAATTTCAGTGTCTGTTCCATCTGTACTAGAACTATTATTTTGGAAAGCAAGAATATATGTAGTTTTATTGTGTGTGTGTGTGTGTGTGTGTGTGCGTGCTTGTGTAATTTGCTTAAGATATGTATAGTTTTGACCTGTTGCCAACATTTGTAGTCCATAGTTTTTTACTTATTACCAACATTCTCTAAATAAAACAATATAAATATTTTCAAACACACATACACACAATTGTTTATCAACATAAAAATTGAAATAGTGTTTCAGTGTTTCTCAACTAAGGTAATTTTTGACCCCTCCCAGGACATTTGTCAATGTCTGAAGACATTTTTAGCAGTAACAATTGGGGAGATACTACTGGCGTCTTGTGGGTAGAGACCAGGGATGCTGCAAAATGACCTACAATTAAAACAAAGAATTATCCAACCGAAAATGCCAATGTCTGAGATTGAGAAATCCTGTAGTACACAATTGGAAACATCTAAAGCTTCAAGAGAAGGGGAATTATTAAGGAGACAAAATCAAAATAATTGACTCTTGAATAATCATGATAAAGAAAAATATTAATATGAGATAACAATTACATGTTTCTTAAGTGGGAAATTATCACAGAACAGTATATTCCATGTATTTCTTACAAAATATGTAAAACTTCAAAGTTGTAAAACAAAATGTTGACAATGGCTCTTTTAAAAGGGCTTTTTGGGTGATTTCCAAGGTTTTGCACAGACCATGACTCTATTGAATATTTTAAAAGTTACTTCAAAATTTCCCTTTCCAAAGCAGTCTTCTTATGCCTGAGATTTATTTACCATGAAAGCTTTATCAAATTTGCATAAAATGTTGGTTCCTGGTAAAATGGAAATTCTCCTTATGCCTGTATGTGTGTGACATTTGCATCTTAGTTTGTGTGGCAAAGGAGGAAGTGAGTTTTCTTTGAAAAGAGAATAGAGAAAATTGAAGGACTTTGGTAAAGGTGTTAAAATAAAATGTTTCTTTAACCAAGAAAAAATAGAGATATTCAAATTAATGAATATAAATTATATAAATAGTTATTAAAGCTGTACAACTCTAACAATCTTCTGTTACCTTCCTAATTATTTACCCCTTTCTCCATCCTAACCTCTGGTAGCTCAATGAGTGTTTAGAAGTGTTTTGTTTGCTTTTATAATTTTCAGTAAGTTAGGTTTTTCTGTAGTTATCTTTTTGTTTTTAATTTTTCCAGCTTTATTGAAATATTCTTGAGATATTACTGGCATGTAACAAATAAATGTAAGGTATATAATGTCATGATTAGATACATGTATATATTGTAAAATTATTACCACAATAAAGATTAGTAAACATCTCTATCCTTTCACATAGTAATTGTGTGTGTGTGTTTGTGATGATAACATTTTAAGGCTTACTGTCTAAGCAACTTGCAAGTATATAATACAGTGTTGTTACTTACAGTCAGGCTGTACATTAGATTCCCAGAACTTAATCATCTTATACCTGAGACTTTGTACTCCGTCACTAACATCTCTCTATTCCCCTCGCCCTCTAGCCCCTGGAAACTACCATTCTACTCTCTAATTCTATGAGTTTAGCTGTTTTACATTCTTCATATAAGTGAGAACCTACAGCATTTGGCTTTCTCTGGCTGACTTATTTTACTTAGCATAAGGTCCTCAACGTCCATTCATGTTGTTGCAAAAGGCCAGATTTCCTTCTTTCTCATGGCTGAATAGTATTCATATATATCACATCTTTATCCATTCATCTGGAGACAGACAGAGTGTTTCTATTGTGAATAATGTTGCAGTGAACATGGGGGTGCAGATATCTCTTCCAGATAGTGTTTTCATTTCCTTTGCAGATACCCAGAAGTGGGATTGCTGGATCATATAGTAATTCTATTTAAAATTTTTTGAGAAACCTCCGTACTGTTTTCCATAGTAGCTGTACCAATTTACATTCCCACCAACAGTGCACAAGGCTGTGCTGTTCTCCACATCCTCACCAGCGTTGGTTATCTCTTGTCTTTTTGATAATAGCCATTCTAACAAGTATGAGGTGATAGCTCATTATGGTTTTTTGATTTGCATTTTGCTGATAATTAGTGACATCGGTTATTGAATTTTATTTTATTCATTTGTAGTTAGGGAACATACTCTGAAAGTTTTTACTCATTTAACATTTGTGAGATTTTCTTTAGTCTCACATATGGTCAATTTTGGTTAAAAAGTAAAATATGTGTACTTGAAAGGCATATGAATTATCTCATTGTTGGATAAATCAAGTTTGTTAATTGTGTTGTCCAGATTTTCTCTATCTTTATTGATTTTGGGTCCATGTGCATTATGAGCTATTGAGTTATATGTTTTAAAAGCTTTCATATGATTATAGATTTGCCTTTTCCCTTTTTAATTCTGTAAATGTGTGCTAGATTATTTGGTGCATAAATTTTAGGATTACAATATAATCCTGCTGGGTTGAGTATTTTATCTGTAAACTACCCTTCCCCTTTTATTCTCTAATATTGCTTCTTACCTTAAGTCTACTTTATATGATATTATTATAACTATACCAGATTTCTTTTGGTTAATGTTTGCATAGTCTATTTCTCCATAATTTTAATTCCAAGCTTCGTGTGTCTTTATATTTAAATTATACTTCTTATAACCAGTATATTGTTGGAGTTTTAAAATCCTGACTGTCAATATTAAGTCTTTTACTTGAAGTCTTAGTCCATTTTTATTGAATATAATTATATTCTTTCTATAAGTTTTGTCCCCAAATTTCCCATATCTTTCTAACCGTCTCTTATTGCTACTCTTCTCTGAAGTTACATCTTTTATTTTTTTTGAAGTTGTTCATACATAGATGCTATATATACAGCTATTCTTACCTGTCAGATTCAATATTTGCAGTCCACGTGCAGTCCGTGTTTGCTGCCTGTTTATGCGTGTTTTGCCTTGCTGTCACTCACAGTTTGCTTCTATGCTTGATGATGTTTTATTCTGAGGTCGTTGCATGATTTTATTCATGGGAGTCATGCCAATATGAGTTGGAAAAGTTCTTTTCTCTAAAGCTCAGTTTATTCTTTTGTGAAATGAAGATAAAAATAGTACCTATTTTAAAGGTTTGTTGCGATGTTGAATTGAGAAAATAACCATAAAGTGTGCAGCACAGTGCTGGGAGCATTATAAAGGGTCAATAAATGTTCGATTTACTTTTTAATTTTTTAAATTTAAATTTTGGGACAATATATTAATTTAAGTGATTGTGTCTGCTGCCTCCATCAGAATGTACTTACATGAATCGCACAAGCATTGAGGTTCTGACTACCATTATATTCTCACAGTGTCTAGAAGGGAGCTTGGTGTATTTAGACACTCAGTGAAATACTTGTTGAATAAAGGAATGAATGGATGCCATCAAAGTGAAATATGCTAGTAAAGGTATTATTTCTAAGAGCCTTTCATGTCAAGAGTAGTCAACATAATCTACATTCATGAATGGAATAACTATTAAAAACACAGCAACTATTTTGTGAGATAATATTTGTGAAATTTTCATTTCCCAGTTGAGCTTGAATTTGAATTAAAAATTAAAACATAAAATAGAGTGGATAATATGCCAAAATGGTTTTTAGTACCTACCTTAACGCTAAGTGCCAATTATTCAGTGTCTATGTAATTGAGTCACAATCCATTGTCCTCTCTATGTTATAACTTGAAGCGTGCCCTGCCTGAATGAACACAAAATAAATCACGAAGTTAGTGTTGATATTGAAAAAGATGAAGAAATCCAATTTTTGTTTCTGTTGTCTTCTGTTTCTGAGAGATATGTGTTTGGTACTCCTACTCCACAATTCAGGTTAACAAATGCAAAATAGTCTCAGGAGGACAAGTAAAATCCATGAAACAAAGCTTCATTTGCATGTTAACAAATTGTAGGCGAGCATTCAGGCTGAGCACACATTCTCTAGACTGGCCAAGTTTTACACTTAGAAGTGGAGGGGTCTCTATGAAGATATTTCGGATTCCATCAAAAGGGGCATTAACTGGGCACTTTTGAATCTTTATGAAATGAAAGAAAAGAAAATCATTCTTCCAAAAAGCAGCCAATATATACCTCACTCTGCAGCAGGTAATCTAAATTGTATGTGAAAGAATCAATATTAGCACTTGGCAGATATGCTAAGTATAGCGGAAGGCCTCCTCATTTTTATAGTGGTTGGTGAGTCAATACTGGGGGTTTTAGGGAATGGATTTATTGGACTTGTAAACTGTATTGACTGTGTCACGAACAAGAAGTTTTCTGTAATTGGCTTGATTTTCATTGGCTTAGCCACTTCGAGGATTTTTCTGATATGGATAATAATTACAGATGCCTTTATAAAGATATTCTCTCCACACATGTACACCTCTGGAAACCTAAGCGAATATATTAGCTATGCATGGATAATTATCAATCACTTAAGTACCTGGTTCGCCAGCAGCCTCAGCACCTTCTATTTCCTGAAGATAGCCAATTTTTCTCACCACTGCTTCCTCTGGTTGAAGCACCGAATCCATAGAGTGCTCTCTTTTCTGATGGGATTGATGCTTATTTCATGGTTACTTGTTCTCCCACAAATTGTGAAGATTATTAAAGATTTAAAAATGAATAATAATAGCAACACAACCTGGCAGTTCAACATCCCTAAAAGTGACTACTTTACTTACTACACTTTGCTCAGTCTGGGCGTCATTTTTCTCTTTATACTGTGCCTGGTCACATGCCTCTTGCTAATCGTTTCCCTTTGGAGACACAACAGGCACATGCAGTCAAATGCCCTAGGTGGCAGAGATCCCAGCACCGAAGCACAAGTGAAAGCAATAAAAATTTTGGTTTCTTTTATTGCCCTCTTTATCTTGCATTTTATAGGCATTGCCATAGAAGTAGCATGTTCTGCTGCGCTGGAAAACAAATTGCTGTTTATTTTTGGTGTGACCACGGTAGTCATCTACCCCTGCGGCCACTCCTTCATCCTGATTCTGGGCAACAGCAAGCTAAAGCAAGCTTCTTGGAAGGTCCTGCAGCCTTTAAAGTGCTGTGGGAAGGCGAAGCCTCTGGGGACTCCGCAGCCAGGCATGGGGAGGACAGGGGGCCCCAGAGAATGATCCAGCGAAGAGCCCCGAAGGGGCTTCGCCTGCTCCACGGGCTCGCATTGGTTTTAACTGCGTTGCAGAACATCACTCAGATCTCCCGTAATTATTTTGATGACATCTCAGGAAATTTCATTCTTCAAGGAGATTGTAGCCCCACATGCAAATTCCGTGGCTCAGGCGGCTTCCCTAACCCCAACTTCTTCCCACGCGTCTCCCAGAGGGAACAGCAGCTTGGAGAGGATGCCCTGGAAGGGTGACAGCCCTGGGAAGGAGCATCTAAAACCAGCCTCTCCAGCGCCCTTCACCCGACCTCCCCGAAGCCCCGCAGCCTCTCACCCAGAGGACCCGAGGGCCAAGCGCCAGCAAAGGACGGGCCGATGGAGCTGCACGTCTAGAACTTGGACGTGAGAGGCAGAGGCACCGGTGCTTCTGTGGAGTTCGCAATTTTAATTCTTTAAAAGTTTGTTTTACTTTCACTGTTTAAATCCTAATTTTTATTTTTATTTTTATTTTTCACTGGTGTGTGTCTGATGCGGTAGCAGGAGTCCTACCAGCAGGTGCAGTTCTGTGAAAAATAGCCCAGGAAGCAGAGTCTACATGGGGGAAAGGGGATCAGAACACTCAGAATCAGGTTGCACATGCTTCAGATTTGGGGTGGGAAGCACCACTTTCGTAGGTGTTGAGACCAGAAAGAGTATGCGGCGTTCCGGGAACTGAGAGGTCCGCTGTGACTACTATACAGAGAATGAAGTATTTTAAATTATTTTAGGGAAAATTCCAATAACGACAAATGTCATAAATTCCTTCCAGAATTGCTGAAGTGCCCTGCAGAAATAGTAAACTAATATTTCAGTAGTGAAAACATATTCATTCTCTTCCAGTCTTGGAACCATTCAAGGCTGTTATATTTAATGTCATTGCTTTGATCACAAAAACATCGTTTTAAAAAATATGTTTTTATTGATTTGTTTTTATTCATTCATTTATTTATTTATTTTTTAGAGAGAGAGGAAGAAGAGAGAGGGATCGAGAGAGCGAAACATCTTTGATCGGCCGCCTCCTGCACGCCCCCTTCTGGGGGTCAAGCCCGAAACCCAGGCCTGTGTTCTAACCGGGAATCTAACCGTGACCTCTTGGTTCACAGGACAACGCTCAGCCACTGAGACACACCAGCCAGGCACACAAACATCTTTTTAATTGTCATGTATTTGATTATTAGGGGGTCAAGCTTTTTACAGAATTATTAACAAATGGTGTAAATTTTTGGAAATGATTCATTTGTTTTTCTTTTTTCATGCCTATCGTTCTTCTTACCAATTATGTGACACTTTACATATTAACATCATGCTACATGTGTGCTATGACCTTTATCTTAATTTACTGTTTTGTAAATAACTTAGTTCATGGTGCTTGGGGGAATCAGGTGGTAATTTATATGAACTCAAATCTATGATTTTTTTCTGCTACTTTTGCAAATTTTGGCTTAGTTTTATTATTACACATTCCTTTTATCGATATTTCCATTTTTCTGACAAAATAATATGGTTTATTGCTCTTAAAATTTAAAAATATACAGAAAGGCCTGAAGGAGAATTTATGTATATTTGTCACTCAACTGTTAACGTGTTTCTACACTGACTTCAAGATAAATTTCAAGATAGACAGATATAGGTAGATACGTTGCTTAAAAAGCTGTTTTGATTACACTTATACATAAACTGGATGGACAGGTCCCTTTTCTATGGGCAGTAGAAGTTTAGATTTTTATTTTCTTCTTTCGGTTTTCTGTGGATTTCTAAACTTTCTATACTCTATGCAATAATTAATGTAGTCAGGGAAATGCAATTAAATAAAAGATAAGATAAATGAATAAAACTGATCAACTTCTTTTGAGAAAGGAGGAAAAAAGAATTATTCAACATTTTCATAAACTGTATAATTACCAATTCTGATATCTGTTGGTCTAATGTCTAAGTTTATTTAGTTATTATTTGTGCTGACTCTTGAATAGGACTCCTGGTCGTCATGTATTTTGTAATTGTATTTTGAACTTAGTTTCCTTAAACTTTATCTGTGAAAGTTCTCTGAGGTCAAGTTTATAGTGTACTTTGCCCAAAAGGATTTAACATTGCTTGTGGTGCTGACTGGGAAACCAACCAGTCCTGGACTTCTTTAAATTAAATTTTCAGTTTGTAATTTTACTACAAAGGTAATAAAGGCTCATAAGGGGTACAAATTCTGGTCCCAAATATAAATGTGTGCAAGGTTATTATTAGAAATTCTCAGAGCAACAAATCTCCTTCCCTTCCTCCCTTCTATTCAGTGCCACAGTGGAGAAGTAAGTACCCCTAAAATTTTAACCTTTTGCTGGGCATATATTATTTTCCTGTTGCCCTTTAAGGAATTGCCTTTCAGGGGTCCTGGTTTATTGATAATATCCAATTGCATCTCCAGTCTTGGAGAGGCACATGATCCTTTAAAATGTGAGCTCTAGTTTAAAAGGAGGTTGGAAATGCCCCAAAGGTCCTATTTTCAGCACTTTTCTCTCTCTCAGAATTTTCACTTTCCCACCATTTTTGGCATCTGAGGATTTAAAACAAACTTTCCTGGGGCTGTGAACTTTAAGATTTGTTTTTCCATATTTTTATATATTTTGAACTGGAGGGATTTCTCCAGACATCTGGTTTACCATATTCTTAAAAGCAAATGTTAGTTATTTTTTCTAGCTTCTTTTCAGTCTTTCTTTGTTTCTTTTTTTATTAGTATATGTATTCAAAACTGTACATATCTGCCTAAACACTGATTTAAGTCCATTCCACCACGTTCACACAGAGTTCTTATATTGTCATTCAGCTCAAAGAATTTCAAAATATCCTTTGTAATTTTCTTGTAATGCAAGGGTTATTAAACAGAATAATTTTCTAGTTCTATGATATATGTAATGGTAATTTTTTGTATTGAAATTGTATTGTATTGAAGTTGGATCAGACAACGTATTTGTATGATAGTTAGACTAGGATAAGATTTTTTTGGCCTCATATATAATCTATTTTTGTGAATGGCCCACATTTTCTTCTTTTTAAATATATTTGTATTGATTTTTGAGAGAGAAGAAGGGAAAGGGGGAGAGAGAGAGAGAAACATTGATGTGGGAGGGAAACACCCATCAGCTGCCTCCCACAGACGCCCTGACTGGGGATCGAACAGGTGACCTTTCAGTGCATGCGACCTTTCAGTGCATGCGACAATGCTCAACCAACTGAGCCACACTGGTCAGCGAGGTCCATATTTTCTTGAAAGAAGTTTAATGATGCTAAAGTCAAATTTTTATACATTAGATGAACCATATTAATAATATTTCCTCCCTGTATCCATGTTTATTATAGGATGATTTGAAATTGATAATTAATAAACATACATTCACAATTATTTGTCTCCATTCATAATTTTTTCATTTGTAGCTGCATTTAACTTGAAGCAATATTGATAATTGTATGTGATTTGGTGGTCATTACCTTTATTGTTATTATTATCTTTACTGATATTAAAAACCCTCTTTGTCACTCATGCAGGTTTTTGCTTTAAATTTTATTTTGTCCATGTTAAAAATCACTGATTTGTTACTTTGCTTCATACTTGGTTATTATGTGTTCTCCATCTGTGTATTTTCCACATTTCTACATCTTTCTTTTCTTGTCTTCTGTAGAAAACAAATCTCTGACTTTTGATACTTTATGATCATCGAGTAAACATTTTTATACTATTGGAATCTCAGTTATATTAATTTCCTATCTTCACATTTCTTTTTCATGCTTTCTTCTGGTTTTTTCCTACTCCTTTCCTATCTTCTATAGATATCAAATAAATATTTTAATCTATGTGGATTCCTTTGAAATTTCATATATTTTCACTTTCTCCATTTAAAAACATTATTCTGATGAAATCACTTTTCACCAAACTGCCAAAGTATTCCACTGTTCAAAAAAGTTTAAGGCTCTGAGTTCAAACCAAAAAGGTACAGTGAACTATCAGAAAAATGGATTAGAATATAAGATTTTTGCTGATGATTTACTGTGAAGTCAGTGAGTTGTCTGAAATCCAAAGGGCAAATAACCTAAAGAAATTATTCAATGGGAACAAATAACATGAGGGCATTTGTATTTCGTTTCTAGCAAAGAGAGATAAACAAAGATGGTATTTAATAAGCAAAGGCCCTTAGGTAACTGCTCATATGCTATAGCATATTTTCATTCCCATTTGTATATAGGCGGAATATCTTCTCCAAAGTGATCCATATCCCACTCATGGCTAAAGTAAGGAAATAAGGGACAAAGGGGAAAAGACCAGAAATCAGAAGGCAAAGTAGAATTCTCTATCTGAGTTTACCAAGAAATTCAAGAATGCCAGTTATCAATCATCCACATACATGATTTATTTTTTCTTCATTTTTTCTGGATCTTACAAATTGAACCTAGAGTACTTCTGTTTCTCAGTGATAACCTTCAATCTACTTCATCCACTGATTGAAAATTTATCATTCAAAATTTTTAACTAAAATAATCAAATATAACATAGGCCCTACACAGGCCATATTTAAGTAAGGTCTGGTCCTGTCTGTCATTTAAGATGCACATCAATTTCTTTAGTGAAGTTCTTCTCAGAGTACTGCCTTTTTTGTGGCTTTGGTCATGACAAGCCCACTGTGTGCTTTGGGGCTGTGTGAGCTGATGCTTCTTCAGGAACAAAGCACAGAGAATCATGAACTGAACCCCACATCGCACTTACCAGATTGACGCTTGCCCTTTGCCTTCTCTTAAAAACCTGCATATTTGATTTTTGTCTCTTTATTCTGTCTAAAAGTGTTTTATTACATGAACAGAAACAGCTGAAGCATTATCTCATTAAATATTTTACGATACTATTGTGTTAGTTTGCTTAGTAAGCAATATTTGGCATCAGTTTTACAGCAAATCCTAGAAGCTAAATGTTGGTATGTGCGTTAGTTCACGGGC